AAACCCACTGCATCATATTATTATCACTCAAACCCACTGCATCATATTATTATCACTGAAACTCAATGCATCATAAATACAAATATGATAACCATAATGACTGTTTTAATGTACACATTGTATTTACCTGGCTGATATTCGATTGAAAATGGCATTAAAGTTGTTCTGACTCAATGAAAAAAGAACTCTTGATGCGGTTGGTTTCAATTGCAACACCAGCATGTAATCATTGGGTAAGTTGAGGAACTGACAGATCTCAGGAAGCAACAACTTTACTAAAATAGTCTCATCCAGTCTGGAAGTATCTTTCGGTTGCTACAAAATTAAAATTAAATTAGTCACATGATTTAAAATTTTATCATTTTCTCCAATAGACTAATTCCCACTAATAAAAATAAATGCTTTGCTGATCTTAGAATGCTATAAATAATATCGTTTTCTAAAGAAGCCAGATTCTGAGAGTATATTCATACACGTAAGTAATGATGTGCTACACTAAAAATACAAAATAATACTACCATAACAACTTTGTAAATAAAATTACGTTTTCAGTACATTCAAATTGACAGAATAAATAAATATTAGATTTCAACTCAAGAAAAAAAAAATTTGTTTGACCATTAAAACAAGTTAAGTGCACACATATAATACAAAATTGTATTTTACTCACCCCAGTCAAACATTTCTCTAGAGTTTCTAAGATAATCAATTGTGAATGACGTAAATTCTTTTCTGTATCAGTGCCAGGAACTTTCTGTTAAGATAAAACCCCAATATGCAGTAGGTCAGATGAGTTATCAAATGAGGCCATCACCATGACAACATAAACACCCAGTAAATCACATTTTTACTGATGTGTGGGAGTATGAATTAGTTATATTGGTAAATTGAGTATGCTTCACCCACTCATTAGACAAAATCTTCATTAGGAAAACAAATATTATTTTTATTTGAAATAAATGATGAAACCATCTGCCTTGTAATAGTCATTAAAATAATTGTATATAAAAATGTTTCTTAAGGTAGCGGGACTATTATTTGCATGCTTGTTTTCATCTTCTAATTGTGACCAAATGACTACAAATAGACCCAGGAAAGTATATATTTTTAGAATCGCCAGACTTCAAGCTTTACAAAGGCAGTGTTTGCCATGTCCGTATCTGCATTCTACGCTGGTTACTTAATCAAAAGTGAAAAATTACTTTTTTTGTAAAAAAAATAATTACGCATTTATGCTGGTGATAAGAAGTTTTTTTTTCAATTTTCCTAGTTGTTCAATAGTCTGGTAAATTGAATGTGTCTGGTCAGTTTTATTCAAGCAACGCGTTTTGAAAAGTAGTGTCCTGAATTTTAATTTCTGTTTTAGTCGCATTGCCCCCAACTCAAACCACAACACATTGGTAAATAATCCATGAAATAGTTTGTCTGGACACATTCAAATTCACTACGTTCAATTACCCACCATAGACTCCGGTCAGTCAAAATGACTATTTTGAACTGTAGGCATTAATCAGCGATTCTGCCTGTGACGGAGAGATAGAATCCAGGTCAGGGGAAGCCCCATGACCTCAAGATTCTTTTACCCCTTACGTCACGAACCCATGTGACCGAGGCCACCTGGCAGCGCCACAGGTAGCCGTCCTTCACTCTTAATTTCTCTCCGCCTCGAGTGGAGATGAAATCTAGCGAGCTCTGCTGGATCGCCTGCTTTTTTTCCTGTCCGGATTTATAGCTTGGGTTGTTGCCGCTGCTCGGCATCCGACATGGTAGCTGGTAGGATAAGTTTTCCTTGTCTTTTTTTACCCTCGTGTCGTTTTCCCCTTTGTGTGTAGTATTTTTCACAGCAAAGAAATCAAAATCCGGCGCCACTACGTAGTCACATGTTGATTTCATGGCGGCACCTTTTACAACTGTAATTCGTTTCCCTCATGCATGTCGTCTTTTATTTTTAATGTATTTAGCAATATATAGGTGTAATGAC